TTTCAAACCTTTGAAATGCGTTCAAGCCTTTTAAATGCAGTTTCATTAAAACTTGTGAGTGAGAGTTTTATTGCCCGTTGAGTCTTACTTGACTCGAATTCGGATTAATTAGTAGTCTAAAATGGACTTTCAGATACCGAATGATCTATATAAAAAAAAAAAAAAAAATCAAATCAAATGTTGTAACCAACGATGTTAATTCGTAACCGGTAACATTTTGGAAATCATTCACCAGTTTCAAAGTTTGTTTTACTCACCAATTTCAGTTTTTTGTAACCAACAAATACTATTTCAAATTCCAACAATTTTTCATTTACTCCGGTCATGCTGTGTGAAGGCCTACAAGTAGGCAGCCTCCATTTTTATAAAAAAGGATGATACAATTTTTCCAATCCGCACTCTTATTTCACAAAAACTGTATACAAATTCTCTTTGAGCAAAGAAAAAGTAGTGGGGTAGAGGTTTTTTTACAAGAGTGCAGTACTTGGACACAATGTGGAAAGATTGGATTGTTGTATTTTGGGAGCTATGTGACCATTAAGAACTGCTATATCAATGGCACAAAATGTCTTAAAAAAAGTGATCGATTTATGTTTCAGTTCAAATTCTACATACTTTCAGTGACATTTGTCTATTTTTCATTCTTAATTAATTATTTTACTAATCCCTTTTATCTATTTTTTCTTTTATTTATTTTACGAGGAACAACACTTTTGACTCAAGAGAATTAATGAAGAATATTTTGAAAAATTAACTCAGTCTATAAGAATAAAAACTTGAAGATATATTGTAGGATCTATAGCTAGTGTTTAATTATTTGAGATTAATTGATCCGGCAATTGATTTGATTCTAGAAGATTATATCATATTCTTTACTCTTTTCTTTGATGTATCATATTCTATTAGCTTTTTTTCTTTAATTAATTTAGCTAGGGTGCTCATTAATTTACTTATCTAGGTTAGTTGCAATTTGGCATGAGTTAAAAAATACTCTAATTAATAACTAAGACTTCTATATATCTTGGGATAAATGCAAGATAAAACATGACAGGGCCAGGTATCCCATTCTTTATGGAAACTGAAAAATGATCGAAGATATGTTTCTTTCATATTTTTATGTGGCAAAGAATCAAATAATTAAAATAAAAAAGGGTGTTTTTCTTTTGTTACATTTATGGAAGGGTAAATAGTGTGTAAATACTCGGTTGTTCAGGGTAAATGGAGATCATCACTTCATAGGGAAAGCAGACATATACATAACAATATAAAGTCTAACCCTGTTTATTCTAATATTACTATTTTAAGCACTTAAATGTTATATTTTGTATAATGAGTTAGATTATCCTTTTTACTCCTTAATAATTAAATTCTTTCTTTGTTGATTAAAAGAAAAAAAAAAACATACATAACAAGAGTTCAAAAGTGCAAAGTAAAATAGGGCTAAATATGCCATTTGAATGTCTTATATCTTTGGTCAAAACTCAAAAGTGACATGATATCCTCTTATATATAGCAAAAGCTCATAGATATGGTTTTACTACTAGAGATTAGGTAAAGCTTCATTTTTAGATTCCATTTCCCACCATTCCATCCATTTCCCACTATCCCACCCGTTTAATTTTGCATGTATCTATTCACATAAACTTGAAGATGAAATACCAATCCACATAAAATATATTATGATTAATGGAATTTTTGCACCGTCCACTAACTAGCGAAATTCATTCAGCTGAAAGCACAAAAAATTGTCTTCATGCCTAACACATATTGTTTGAGATACCATGTTGGACCCAAAAGCTAGTGTATATTAAGTTCTTTCACATATATATATTCTACTTATTTTCATTACATTCTTTTGATCTAGAACAACCACACCTCATATGTGAATCATATACTATCACCAAGTTGTGGTTTTGGACTTTCCGTTTATGATCAAGAATATTCTTCCAGATTCCCAATCAGTTTCCTGATCATATAAACAAATGCTGGCGGTTAATTATCCCTTATCCATAAAAAGCTCACGAGCTCTTTTTTGAGGGGGAATTCAT